AGAGCACACGTGTGTGCAATACTGAACCAACTGCACACTTACACAAGCATGTATCATCATCATCATAAGTTTTATCCCAACAATTTTGTGTCACTTTTCAAAAAGAAAAAAAGAAAACCATAGGGGGCCGGCTCTACCCAGGCATATATTCATGAACGAAAATTAATAAATGTTCAATAAGGTTAATAATCAGAAGCAAGTATGTTCAAGCAAGACAAATTCAATGCAGATAATAGTTTTTTTTTTTTTTTTGAATTATAACAAGCTTTTCCCTTTCACTGTTACCTTCCAATCCACGCTCTTGACAGGGATGGAGAAAGAGCTCGTGAAATAAGCCTAGATGTTGTTGGTCTGGCATTGATTGATAAAAAACGAACCAACTGTGCTGAACTCAGCAAACCCTAAAAATCAATTCCAATATTTAAACCTTGAGCACGTTAGTGAATGCAAACAATAAATGAAAGATACCATTTCACAAGCTTGCCGTAGTCCACCAGGTAAATCTGCCATGGTCTTGTACCACTCATTAAAGACAGCATCAATAAATTTCCTATCAAAAAACTGTCAGGAATAATTAATGGCTTTAGAAATGATGAAATTCCTAGAGAAACCATCTTCATTTCTAAGAAGAATGAATTATCTAAATAAATAAGGATGGGCATAAACTGGATACCTCCTTTATAACAATCCTCCTTCTAAACCATCCACCTTCATCTCCTTCATCTCCATCATCAAAGTCATCAAAGTAGTCATCATCATCACCATCATCATCACCCCCATCTCCCCCTCCATGAAAATTTTTCTTTCCAATATCTCCACCTCCACCACCGGTCGCTAACTGCAAAACGCCAAAATATTGACCAAATGATTAAGTTATAACTCCAAAGAACAAAATTAGAAAGATTTAAAGATGCAAAAAAATGTCTGGTGAAACATCGTGACATCTATTCAAAAAGAACTAAACAAACCTAGAAAAATATAGACAAGAAAAAAATTATATAGACGCGGGGAATCCAAGGGATCATTGGGAAAGATAGCAAACATTACAGAATAGGAGGTAAATGCCAAATAAATTATCACAATGGAGTATTTAAAACAAGTAAATAAAAACCAGTGATGACATCGAAGAACATATTATGATGGAAACACCTAAAAAGAAAAACGAAAATCCACATATTTCTAGCTTGAACAGAGCTAAAACCGGGTAAAAGTAAACTGGGTACATTACTGTGAAACCTAGTTGGGGAACTGAATTCAAGAGTTTTTATTTAGCGTTCCTACTATTTTTTGCATTTGACCTAGCTTACAAAATCTCTTTGAAAACTCTGGTCATGTTATGTGTGATCTATTCTTTTTCCTTTTTATTCCCTTTATATTGATTCTCTCCTTAAGTTTCGTTTCCCTACATTGTTTGTGCACCCGCCGGACTCCACATTTGTACGAAAACATCTTGGCCTATCATCTATGTTCTTTACTTGAACAGATGTTAAATGCATTTCAAATTTTTTTAAACGTTAGCAAACATTGAAATTTTTCAGCAAGTCAGGTGCTAATATCATCAATGAGATGAAAACAACAACAACAACAACAAAGCCTTAATCCCACTACGTGGGGTCGGCTACATAAATCCTTTTTCTCAATTAAAGGATTCATGTCATGATTTTTTTTCCGACAAGTTTTACGCTGGCTGTCGACTATTTAACGCAACCCTCCACTTTTCACATTTGAGCTTGAGACCGACAACGACAGTATTAAATCAATGAGATGAAATGAGCAGAAAATCTCTTCCCATTTTCCTTGGACAAGGAGAAAACCTGTGAATAGAACTATGCATATATTCAACCTATATATAGAACTATGCATATATTCTAAGTTCTATTTTAAGTTTAACATATCCAACATAGACTAGTTACAAATATAGAATAAATATTTACATGAAGACAATGTAAGCATATCCTACACATGTAATTACTAATACTAGGTTTCATTTCGTAATGTTTTGTAGTCAAGCTGCTTTTACAAAATAAAGTGATTGCTAATCTTACGAAGCCAACAGAGTTTTCTAAACAAGGGTGTTGCCCGCACATGTAATAAAAGGCTCTTTTTTTTTGCATAGGTGCCGTGATATGCTATGTTTTAAAACCAAAACGAAAGATAAGCATAACCAAATAAAGAGGAAAATAAATATGTTTAAGAAAATCCTGCCTTCATGTGCTCTCGTATTTCTATCGCTTTGTTTTTTGTGATACTAACTGAACACCTCACACATAAAACCAAGCACGTATTTCCACACAATTAGCATCAACATCATCATCAGCAGACAAAATCGCCTTATTCTAATTTGTCAACTATTTTAAGTCGGGTCCCATGCACTTTAGCATAATGAACATACCATACTTGTCTAATGATATAATTTATCACCAATTAATTGATGATGGAACCATACGTAAAAGTGTCAAAAAAAATCCATCTTACATTCTGATTTCTATGACACAATCTCTATTCAAGTCATACTAATTGCCCAAAACTCTATTCCAAAGTTATAATAGCAGACTGGAAATTGCAATGTTTTCATAATAACTGAATTGAAAATTGAATTAGAGAAATTCTGGAGCATTTATAAAACTATCAATCATGAGTCTAGTTTTAATTATAAATATAACTCTAGGCATATGAAAATCAACATTGGCATGACAAATTTTCAAATTCATATTCAACTTTTGTGTGATGTTAAATGTGGAACATTTAAGTGTGTTTAGTGTCAAGGACAACTTATGGAGGAAACTTTTCTCTTTGTACCATCATGAGATATAGATCTTTAGTAACTTTTATTATTTTTTTTATCTGGATACTTTGTAATTGATTTTTACAATATGAAATTTTGTCAAATCCGCTAAAATTTATTGTCTTTTTATGCATAAGTCTTGATAGTTGCATGAGTGTTTTTTTCACTCAGATTTCTTGCAAAAATTTAGATTTTGATGATCTTTAAATAATTGAACAGATTTTATGTCTGTTTAGAAATTGCAAAGAAGACATAATAATCTAAACTAAGGTCTAGAGCCTTTTTGGAGTGGCAGCGAGTTCTGTAAATGTAGATGTGTGTGAAAAAATAATTTTTGATAGCTACTTGAGGTTTTATAATTTTTCAAAATAAAAAAAAATAGCAAATCTAAATCTCAAAAGCAACTTCTCTACAAAAATTTTTAAAATGTAGAAAGCAATAGGAGCCAAACGGATGTGTGACAACGATGTGAAAAGTCAAAGAATAAGAAAACTGCCCCAATAGACTCTTAATGGGTTAAAAAATTTTGAATTTTTTATGTGTTTGTTAGTGCATCCCATCTTGAATTTGATCTAGGTGGCACCTTAATTGAGACAGGAAATAAAAAAACAAGTAAACGGTCAACCAAAGATTCACAAAGAAAGAAATTTCTTATTAAAATAAAAAGAAAATTCTAATTTAGTGTATATTAAGGAAAAATTTATTAAAAAAAGAAGTATGATGGAGCATACATTAAGTAGAATTAAAAAGAAATTTGTAAAGTGATGAAAGAGTTTTCTGTTACAACAGCAATACATCAAGGATCAATACTAAGTGCATATGTTTTTATGTCGATCATAGATATTTATATAAAGTGTTGGAGTTTAGAATAATACGAAATAATATATTGATATGAAATGGGGGTACAAATAACCCTTGCATGAATCCTTAAATAAGAAAAACAATAAAAAAAGAAACACGAAAAGAAAGATATAACACATATATCTCCAATTAATCAATTCATATTAATTACTTAAAGATAAAGGAAACAACATAAAGTATAAAATAGAAAAAGAAACCTCTAATTCAAGGAAATAAATTTAATCCTCATACCGTCTAACAAGAATAAATTATTTCTTGATATAACTTCTAACACTCCCCCTCAAGTTGAAATATGATTGAAAACTATGTTCAAATTGGATTTGAAAACATCAAACAATATGCGAGAAAGATTCTTTGTGCGGTAGAGCTTGAAATTTTTATCCCATACTTGGCAATCAACCACAAGGATATTTAGTTGATTGCGGCAGTCTTTGACTGCAACTTTTGCAATTTTTGTAGATAGATGGAAGGCTTTTATATTTAATGTTGCAGGGAATTGTACAACAAAATGGAAAAGCTGCAGGGTACGACATGTAAAAAATAGAAAAGCTCCGCAGTTAGGCCTTACTGCAGGAAAAGCTTCGGAGGAGGGCATGATGCAAGAAAAAAAATCTGATGAGGGTGTGATGTTGGAAAAAGTTTCGGAGGAGGGTCTGATGCAGGAAAAAGCTCCGGAGGAGGGTCTGTTGCAGGAAGATTTCAGGCGGAGAACCTATTGCAGAAAAATGCTCCAGAGGAGGGCCTGTTGCAGGAAGATTTCAAGCAGAGAACCTACTGCAGAAAAAGCACCGAAGGAGGGTCTGATGCAGAAAAAAATTTCAGAGGAAAGTCTGATGTAGAAAAAGGCTTCGGAAGAAGACCTGCTGCAGGAAGAATTCCAGTGGAGGACCTGCTGCAAGAAAAACATGGAAGAGGATCTGTTACAGGAAAAGACTCCGGAGGAGGTCATGCTGCAGAAAGAATTCTGAAGGAGGGCCCGCTCCAGAAAAAGCTCTGGAGGAGGGTCTACTGCAAGAAAAGCTCCAAAAGATCTGCTACCAAAAAAATTTTGAAAAAGAGTCTGCTGCAGGAAGAGCTCCAGAGGGGGGTCTGCTGTAGTAAGAACACTGAATGAGGGTCTGCAATGAGAAGGGCTAGCAACAGGATACTTTCAGCTGCAGGTAGAGTTCTGGTGGCAAATGAAAAAAACAAAGGACTTGTATAAAGTTTTTCGGCAGCAGGGAAGAGACCGACGGAGAAAAGCATGCAGGTCGGCTGTTGGGATTCCATTCAAGGATATATTCAGTCTCGCCTCTAAAATAACCTTCCTCAAATCGTTTTGAAAGCAAACCAAATATGAACTCATTTGTAACAAGCTTACATTCGTTTCCACAATTCATGCATATGAAATGACGGAGGACACCGTAGACGTGGTTGCTTGAATATGCGGCCTGCAGGAAGGTGTCGGTAAGGTCTACAGGGAAGTTTTCTAGTTAGCAGAGATGATTTACGACTGTTAGGAACCCGCAAGGAGAGACCCGACAATCTTGGGAGGAGGTCCAGCATGCAAGAGTAGGTCCGACGGCCGGTAGGTATGCAGGGAAGGGGTCCAAGTGCCTGAAATCTATAGGGGAAAATCTGCAGAGGGAGTGTCGGCGGCAAGAGACTGCAAATAGGCGCCTCGGTGGTGGTCCTGGAAGGAGAACGAGAAAGAGGACCGACGACTAGAAAATCCTGCAAGAAGAATCAGTGGCTAAAATCTATAGAATGTCAGCAGGGAAAATAGCTCCTAGTGCAGTTCTGCTGCAACGAGAAAATCAGGATTTGCACTAGAAAAATAAATTCCGTCGGCGGGCCGAAATTTCCACTAGAGAGAAAATATTGGGATTTCTACCAAAAAGAAAAAGAAATAAATCTTATTCTTTGGATTAAACGCAATCGCAGAAATCCAGTTCTCTGGATCGAGATTTATACTAGAGAAAAATCCCACTTTATGGAGCCTGACAGAGTCACACTCGGCTTAGCAGATCGGGAAGGGATAGAATCGTGTGAAATCGCAACAAAAAAGGAGGCAATGTTGCAGAGGGCCTGCAAGGATTGACTCCGGCAGCAAGGGCCTACAGACAGGCTTGCGACCTGGAATGAGAGAAAAAGCAGAAGTCGTCGTTTTAAGAGACAGTCTCGGTCGCGGTAGCTGAAGCAAGAGAAGAGGGCCCCTCCCTTCCATGGGAATGGCAGGAAGGGAGTCTGATGGCTCTTGAAAGAGAACCCGCGGAAGAGGTAGGGAATTTGGCTCTGATACCATGTTAAAATTCAAAATAATGCAAAATAATATTTTATTGATATGAAACGAGGGTATAAATAACTCTTACATGAACCTTAAAATAGAAAAGACAATAGAAAGAAATTAACAGGAAAGAAAAGATATAATACATATATCTCCAATTAATTAATCTATATTAATTACTTTAAAATAAAAGAAACAACATAAAGCATAAAACAGGAAAGGAAATAACTCTAATCCAACGAAATAAATTTAATCCTCATAACTTTTAATAGAAATAAATTATTTTCTAATATAACTTCAAACATAAAGGATACTAAAAGTGAATTATCTTAATGCATGTTTTTACAACAAATAATTTAATTACAAATGATAAGACATCTATTAAAAAATTATTAAATTAATGGATTGATTTAGAAGATAGATGAGTAGAAAAAATGATGAATGCATGATACGTAAACTTAGTGATACGACATTAATAAGTGCCAATCAAAATCATTAAAAGATAAAGTAATACCTAGGAGTGATAGTTTTGAGTACTTTAGATTCATTGTAAAGGAAAAGTGTGAGTATAAATGAGAAGGTAACTTCAAGAGTAAAATTTGAAATGTTAGAAGTGTCTCAAATGTATTATGCAACAAGGCATTACCATGGAGACTTAAATGTAAGTTTTAAAAATTTCCAATCATGTTGGTGTAATGGATCCCGATTTGTGTGTACGTGAGTTACACAAGCAACTTACCTAACACGGGAGAAAATAAAAAAAGTTAAGGGAAAAGCTAGAAAAATACACTATCAAGCTCAAATGAATAATGAGTACAAAAGAAAGTATAATAAGAAAAATCCACTATCTGGCGCAAATTAATAGCAATTTTTAAGCCATAATGCACAAAAAAAAGTATAATTATGACTCTCCCTACAACCCCATATCTATAATATGAGCTACATATGCATGAAAAAGCACAAATAAAACTACAAAAGACATATAGCCTTAGCGAGAACTCCAATTCCAACTAGTTGTCGAGCATTCGATTTGAGGATATTGTAGGCTCCACTAGTAGAACTCATCTAGTAGCTCTCAAAACCTACATGATCATTTGGGTTGAGTTGATCCGATGATTTCAACATTAGCGTCGACGAGTTCTTCAATGTTATGGTGGATGACCCTTTACTTAAACTCAGCTACTGAGTTTATCTATATTGTTGCGAGCAAGTGTAAACTTATATGATGAGTTCTCTTTGAATTCGATTGTGAGGTTCACCATAAGCTCCTCATAGTTAATCCATCTCGATTGGTGTGTCAATTTACATCGAAGTTGGTTGATGTGTCCAAGTCTTAGCTGAAAAATCCGTCATGAGCTCAGCTTATGGGCTCATTCCAAACATAGCTTTGGTTAGGTCACTCTATCTTGAATTTGCAAGTTCTTGTTGACCTAACTAGGTGAATCTTCAGTGTACAGTATGCACTCAAGTAATGGATTAAAAAAAAAAGAAACTAATAACTAAGGGTGCGTTTAGGGCAGCTTGTGCTTATTCAGATAAACAGCTTATCCTGAAACGCGGCTCACGGGTGGCCCACAGGGTTCAACCCGCGGTCTGCGTTTAGTGTAAAAACCCAACAGCAATTTCAGATAAGATGTCAAAACGTGTTTTCCAAACGGTAGGGCGACGAGCTGCCCCAAACGGGCCCTAAGTTAAGATTCTTGAAGTAGATGTGCGATGAAGATTAGAATAATAGATATAGGAATTATTATGCTAAAGAAATGATTGGAATAAAACATATTGAATATAAGGTAGTTAAAAATAAGCTTAAGTGTTAGCATGCATAATAAACAACAAAAAATGCACCCATTCAACAGGTTGAAAAAATTAATATCAAAAGATTATAAAGGAGAGGGGATGGACTTCCAAAATATGAATGGAGGTTACTCAAAAAATATTTTGTACCTCATTTACCACTCGATAATGTTGAAATAAAACTAAGGATTCATAAAGTTTAGCAAAAATAGCGGATTAGCCTAATGATGGTAATGATGATGATGATAATTGATTTGCACAAAAAAACAACAATATTACAAAGAGATATAATTAATGTGAAAAGTAATATGAAAAAAAAATCTTACAAAAAGTTGGCCGATATATTAAAAAAAAACATAAATTAGTTTAGCACAACATGCAACACTCACTATTAATTAATGTATAAGAACACATATAGTAATGATGATGATGACAATCATCACCAGAATAAGCATACATGTTAACAATACTAAAGCACTTTTACATGCAAACAAGCTAACTCATTATACTTTAATAATCTTTCCTTTATGCATAACGGACACTTGGTAGCAAAAGCCTATCCAATTTCATCACATCATACTTTTCATCTCCCATAGTCAAGGTGTAAATTCTTTTAAGTTGAATCCTTTAATGCAAATTTCTATTCGTACTTGCAAGATTCAAACAATAAAGAAGATTTACCTGTGTCAACACAATTCATCTCAAATTCTGATTTCCGCCACACTCATCTATTTAACACAACTTAATTGCCCTATACTCTAGTCATAGAAAGTTCTAGAGAAAAATAGAAATAATGGATGTTACATTCATCTCACAAGATATTCTGATGCTGGTTTTGCTTTTTCTTGCTTCCTTCCTTCTTCATTGTATGATAAATGAACTGCTAGTATGCAACTCTTTCTTAAATTTTGTGCATAGTTAATGCACTCACAATAGCTAATTGAAAAACATAATCAAAGTATTACTAAAGTGTTTAAATACATTAGGTGAAGCCCTTAGGCTAGAAAAATGCTTGATATCTACCTTAATTAAAGATTTTAAAATTCAAAACAGAAACTTTAACTGAAATAGTCAAGTTCTACAAACAGTCAAGTTTTCTCCCATAACATTTTTAAAATTTCTCAAATTATGAACTTTATTTTTTGGCTCTTTCACTCAGAGTGCAAAACTAAGCATTTACCGCAAAATTATCTTTGTAGCCAGTATTAAGCTTTCCTTTTATCGAGACTAGTTTCACTACGTAGGTACCAGGCTCTTCCAAAAAAAAGCAGCTTCATTTTTAGGGCCCATCAGTAGCTTTAAAATTAGAGAACAGAGGTCAAAATGTGACACAAAACTTATTATGTGAAGCAGCTTGATTCGCTGCCCCTCTAAAGAAAATTTATGAAGTTAATACTAATTTTTAAAAAAAAAATTTCTATCTGTTGGCAACATTAAACATCTTAGATGGTTTGGTCACATTAAACGACTTCTTAGATGGTTTGTTCACATTCAAGGTTGACCATTGATGATCTGGTTAGAAGGGTAGATGTTTTAGATTTGAGTTATGTTAAAAAAGGTAGAGGTAGACCTAAAAAGACTTCGGCATGTTGTATAAAAAATGATCTTAATTAGAAAGAATTAAATGAAAATATGACACTCAAGAGAACATGATAGAGAAAAAGGATTCATGTAACCGGCCGCACTAAGTGGGATAAAGGTTTGTTATTATTGTTATTGTTTGTTCTTTGTTGGCAACATAAATGCATAAATTGCAAAAAATTAATATGGTTCTGTCTAGAGATGTGAAAGGATATGATATATGTCATAATCACAAAAATAATTCAATAGTAATTTTTCCCCCTATAATTAGATTTCTCAATATAAATAGTATAATTTAATATATTTTTCTTATGTAGTCTAGGCAATCTAGTAATCCCCCTCCCCCCAACTTCCCGATATTTTTTTCTTGCCCGGTACTTAGGAAAAATAAAACATTTAATGATCTTGCCCACCTTAAATAATAATGCAAGTTCAACCACTTCCAACACAACTTAAAAGGGATGGAAACCTATTGGTGCTTGGTATTGAGCATTTTCTCCTTGGAGACATCAATGATAAGTTTAACGGTCACCATGAGACCCTATCATCTCTCGCCTGTCTGGTTTCTAAACATCATAAGTTAAATAATTCAAAATTGCAAGTGCAGCATGAAAATACCATGATGATTCCACCATTTCAAATTACAGAACCTTAAAATGAGCAATCTCCAAAAAAAAAGATCTTTTTTCCCTCAAAAAGGGCAGGTGTTATGATTAAATAACTACACATACCAAATAGATGCAAAATCTAACTATCCTATTTCCCAAAATTCACGCAGACACAGAAAGAAATCATCTTTTGTGTTTTTCCAATTAGATGACAGGCTTAAAAGTCAGTTAGTTGTTTAAGAACGCAGTAGCCTTCTAGGATATGAACTCAGTTAGTCATACATACAACGGAACACACAAACTAGCACCACGCCCAAACTATATTGGAATGCTTGTCAATATAATCATAAAATCAAATAATTTAATAGTAAACGGACTGCTGGCTTCTTCAACAGAACATGCCTGCCAGAAAGCATCCCCAAGTCCTTCCTACGTTAAATCTGAATAAAAAAAAAATACTACAATTTCCAGCCCAATGCCCCCAACCACAACCTAACTAGGGCTACAACGAAGATTGTTACTTCAAACAATCGTTTGAAGAAGAATTACGTAACCTCTCCTTCCACAAAACAAGCAAAAAAATGACAAACCCAAACCCAACATTAAACGCATTAGCATCAACCAGAATCGAACGCGTGAACAAAAAAAAATGAAAAGAGCTGCACTCACTTCGGGACTCGACTTAGTAGTCTTTTGAGAGAGATCCAGCTTGGACTTCTCTAAAGTAACCGCACCATGTGCACCATACTCTTTCTTCATCGTCGTGGAAAGCATCGCCCCGGCCGCAGAAGAGGAGGGTTCAACATCCGGCGAGGCGGCGAAGCAACGCTCGAGTGCATCGAGGAAACCGGAGTCAGAGGCGGCGGGAGCGCTCTCGAGCGTTGAAGAGGAAGCCACGACATAGCAGCAGAGCTTCCTCTTGACGAAGGATAGCGACAGGGTGCTACCAGCAGCAGATGCCACGATATGGCGAAAGGGCTTCCTGCGGGAGAGAGCGGCGGTAGGTATCCGGACGGAAACGCGGCGGCGACCGATGCTGTCAGAGCAGTGGCAGGCGAAGAGAGGACGAGGGGAAGTTGGGGACTGGAAGAGGGCAGAACTCGAAGCCATGGCTTCCTCCCCCGTGCTAGGCTGCTACGGAAGCTGGCTCCCTGGTTTGGGATTTTGCTTTCTTCCTATTTCCTAATCCCAGACGGGACCGTCACGGCCCTATCGCTATTCAATGGGGGAGAGAAGGGTTGGGCGAAGTTCGCGGCTACGGGTTTGGGTTCTCGAGACACGATTGCAACCCGATCCGATTGATTAGAATGACGGATCGGATTGATTCGTAGGGTCAAGGTTTTGAAAAACCGGATCAAGAATCAAATTGTAAGAAGAAAAGATTCAAAGTTTATTGATTTGAGCTATATTTTTCGAGAGAGCAGCTCTCTCTTTCTCTCTCCCTGTAACTCTTCTCTCTCTCTCTCTCTCTCTCTCTATGAATTTTTGGCTGACATATAAATTTAAGGATGTTTTACTTTTTTTGGGGTGTGTGGCCCGTGATCTCGTGACCTCGTGACCTGTAAAATTAATGGATGTAATTTGAGTTTAGAAAATAAACACCACGTGGCCCCCTAAGAATGGCAAAATAAATAAATATATATATAGATATATATATATATATAATTCATAGTTTTCAAAAGAAAAAAACTAGTTCTCTGATTTGTCGGTTGAGTTCAACAGATTCCAGATAATTCAACGACAGAAACGGTATATATGGCAACCTATAAATTCATGGATGTTTTTGTTTTCTTTGAGGTGGGGTGTGTGGCCCGTGACCTGTAACATCAATAGATTTATTTTGAGTTGGGAAAATAAATGGCATGTAACCTTAAAAATGACTACTAAAAAATAAAAAAATAATATTCATGGGTTTTAAAAGAGAAAACTAATTCATCGATTTACAGGTTGAGTCGGCGGTTTGATAGATTCTCGGTAGTTTAATGGTATTAACGGTCCTTTACGCATTTCAAACCGAATCAGCCACCGTTCCATGGTAAAACAATCTGATTTGGTCCAATTATCTAAATAGTGTTTAGGGCTCCATGGTTTCTTATGTTAACATGTTATATGGAAAAACAATTGTGTTATGTGTATGAGGGCGTGTTAAGTTCACACGCCACGTTATTCCGTTATTTTTATCAGCCTTAGTGGTACTATTCATGAAAAAGTAGACGCAAAAATAAGTTTTCACGAACTCTATTTTATATGTGTGATCCGTGATTTTGGTGTTTTCTCCCATGACTCTCCCCGCATTACCCTTCCCATATTTTTGAACTCTCGCTTCACTGCTTCAATGCTCCTCTCGTTCTGATGTGTGTTGCCCTTTAAGGCATCGAAAGATAAATCAAGTTTTTTTATTTCTTCTCGTTCTCCTTCTCATTTGGGAATAAATCAAGTTTTTTTTTTATTTCTTCTCGTTCTCCTTCTCATTTGGGTTCAAATGCATTTGCTAAATTGCTTAAGGCTTAGCTCCTCCCACTTGATCGCTCTCACCTTCAATTATGTTGTTTTATGGGGCTTATGCTGAGTATCTTATTTTCTTTACATTTATACTATAAAGCTTTTGTTCTACGGGTTTATACTGAGTAATTTGTATTATTTGGATTGTTGAGTACCCCATGCTATTAGGTTTTAGTGTGAGAAACTTATATTCTTCATTTTTTATGCTAAGCTACTTCATTGTTTTGGGTTTATGCTGAGAAGTCAGTCTTCATTCGGTTTGTTGTTTTTTGAGTTCACCATGCAAAGTTGGTCTTTAGTTCTTTGGGTCTATTGTCATATTATCTAGCAGATTTAAGCTGCGAAGATTATGCACTCTATGTTTATGCCGAGTGCCTTCTTTTCTTTTTGTTTACCATAACTACCTTTTGTGTTCGTCTAAGTTTATAATTGCTCGGGAACTTATGGCATTCGGGTTTATGTTGTATTTATGATGAATACCTCGTGTTTGAATTTTATGCGCATGGATAGTGTGAATTTAATATTTCATAAAAAGGATATAGAAATTTTGTCAAATAGGTTATTAGCTCTGATTACTTATTAATTTTCAATAGAGAGTGAAGCGAAAGAAACAAAAAATTTGTTGTGAGATTGCTATGATCATTAGAAAAATCTGTTTTTTTTTCTGATTAATCTCGTTGGACATCGTGATTGCATGGAAATAAAACTCGCAAAAATCAATACTTTCTTATTAATCTCGTTGGACATCATGATTGCATGGAAATAAAACTCGCAAAAATCAATACTACTCTTTGAGATCCAATCAAAGATTTATTTTTGGAAAGATTTATGTGCATACACTCCATTTCTATGTATTCATACATAAATCAAGTTACCAAACTCTACCATTACATGAGAAGCAAGAAGAAATTATAGTCAAATAAAATAGTGGCTTTAGTTAGAAATTTTTGGTTGATAGTAAATATGACTTGAGCATTTATGACAAGTGATCTTTTATGTTGTTCAAATGCAATTCATTAATAAATGTCACCAAGGGATGGGTTAGCCGCCATGATTCACGCACTTTGTTTTATGCTCGAAGAGTTGTAATTTGATTTGAAAAATGTGTAGGTTGAGATCGAGAATGTTAAACTTACATGCAAAAAATTTCTAAATATTGGTCGGCATACTGATAATGAGATATTAAAGCAACATGTTCAAGCATATATAACTTTTTAAACTATATATCTGAGTATCATTCAAAATATACAGTGGACTTGTATGAGAGGTTGAATCTCTAGACTTTTTTTATTTTAATAGATAAACTAACCAATAGGTTTAAGCATACAACAAAGTATATACTAATTGTCTTAGTTGATTGTTAAAATTACTCTCATGCCACCCTTATTCACCCTTTATAAGACAATATATATAAAGTGATGCTTAGAATCATGTAAACTATACTTGATTTCTAGAACTTGCAAAATGCCAACAAAAATTTTTTGTGAGATGGGAATCTACTGTGAAATCATCCGGGATGTCCTCCCAGTAGTTCTCAAATTCATTTATCACCAATATATGATGAAGTCTTCCATATTTTTTTAATACTATTCACTAATAAGAGATCTAGGTGTTTGATATATAAATACATCAAAATTGTCTTGTATGCTCAAAATTCTCTGTTTAAGCCCTTTATAATTTCTTACCATACTATGCATTAATATGACATTTAGGCGTTTAATATGTAAATACATCAAAGTTGCGTGGTATGTCTTAAATTATCTATTTAAAGCATCCATATTTTCTTAAAATACTATGCAATAATGTGACATTTAGGTGTTAGACATGCAAATACATTGGAATTGTGTGGTAATTCTGAATTTTTTTTATCAAGCCATCAATATGTTATTACAATACTATGAAATGTAAATACAACAAAATTGTGTGGTATGCCGAAAGTATTTGTTTAAACCCTCCATATTTTGTCATAATATTATGCAATAATGTGACATTTAGTTGTTAGATATGTAAATACATCAAAACTGTTTGTTATGCTCCTAATTTTTTGTTTAAGGCCTCAAAATTTTCTTACAATATGATACAACGACATTTTGGTTTTTGAAATGTAAATACAACAGAATTGTGTGGTATGTCCAAAAAATAAATGTATGATCATATTTGATTCCATGTTTCACAACTGAGTATTCTAAGTAACATCAAAGGCTTGACAAAGCAAACAACAAACAATTAAGAAGACACAACACCTCAAAACTCTAAAGTCTCATAGATGACATCCCACGAAACTATCATACGCAAAATCATCTAGAATCAAAGCAAAAATAAGTTCACTTGAAGCCAAACGATGGCCATAGGGAAAATAAGCTCAACATGTGTAGAGAGAATGAGAGAGAAAGATAGCCTTCAAATACTCACATGCAGCGAGCCAGAAAAATCAAAGAACACTCTAGAGAAAACGAACTACATCCACACAGAAAATACATCGAAACAAAAATCATGAAGCCTTACGAAGATTTATTAGGAATATGACATGTCATATTTAAAATAGAAAAGAGATAAAATCTTAAATAAATTATAACAAAATCAAGGAACACATCCAACAATGATGCGAGGCAAGAAATCACATTCCGTAAATCTACATGGCCTGCCCCCAAATAGCCGGACGGTAAATCCACCGTCTCGAATGAGACCAAAAGTTTTGTTGATTGATCTAAGGGGATATCTGGTAGCCGCTTTTAAGCATGATTTATGTTAAATCCGACCAAACAACAAGTCTGTTTTGCCTCCGTTTTGCTTCAAATAAGGGATTTGATAAATTCCGCTTGGATTTACGGGATTTAGAGAAGTTGAAGCTTGTGGGAAAAAAAAAAATATTTAGTAAGTGTTATTAAAATTGCCAAACAATTTTTATTAAATAATTTTAAAAATTTAACCCCTTCGGACTTTCATAAATATCTACTTAGCAATTAAACAGCCCCAAAGTTCCAAAGCCTTTTTCGGTGCTTGGTTTCTTTGCCGAGTTTCTGCACTTATTGCCAAGCAAACCCCAAAGATAAGAGAGTTAAGCCTCAAATGGCTGCTACAGTCCCCATACATAAGCTCCGTTAACTCCCGAAAGAAATCGGCCCCAACATTTACTCCCGAAGAGAAGGCACGAGCCCACGCCCTCCTTCGCTGCCCAACCGCGCAACTCTCCGGTATTTATATTCCTCAACTTATCAATGGTGATTTTCTCGCTTGGTTTCTGTTCCCCGCCGTAAGTCCATTCCCCCAAAAATGCAATCTTTCAGTTGCTTCTTTCCGAAAGGGCCGTTCTTGGCTGCGCCCTACTTAGATTCCGACCTAGTTCGCCCCCATATTTCCTGGATGAGTAATAAGAGATGTGGCCATGGCGATTCCTCTGGAATTTTTAACAGTCCAAGGATACCAATCCTAAGTTCGAAACAAGGGTTGCTCTCCAGCTACGGGAAGCCGGCCTACTATGCTCCAAAGAAGCGATCTTTCTGCATGCCTTCGGCTTTCTCTCTGGCCTTACTTCATGATCCTCAGGGGAGTGAAAATAAGATTGAGGACGTAGAAAGTGATTACATACTTGATTCTCCAGTGCGCAAAGAGGAAAATTTTCAGCACGATAGGGTTGAATTTGTTCAAAATGAAAGGGTGGATGTGCGAGCACTAGCTGAGAAATTATGGGATGCAAAAACTGTTGCTGATGCTGATGGAGTCTTGAAGGATTTCGAGACTCTCCCTCTTCCTGTCTATTCTTCAATTATTAGAGGCTTTGGTTTAGATAAAAGAGTGGATCCTGCTTTTGCAGTTTTTGAGTGGCTGAAGATGAAAGGACAAGATCCAAGTTGCTCTATAACCCCCAATTTGTTCATCTATAACAGCCTTCTAGGTGCACTGAAACATGCTTCACAGTTTGAGAAGATTTTTGAGGTAATGGAAGAGATGAAGTCACAAGGAATTGTTCCAAATATTGTAACTTTTAATACTTTGATGTCAGCTTATATTGATCAAGGAGAGCCTCAGAAGGCCCTCGAAGTTCTGGATGAGATTAAGCGAAATGGATTATCTCCATCTCCTGCCACTTACTCTTCAGTTTTGCTCATCTGTAGAAAGATGAATGATCCAATTGGTGCTGTTGGATACTTTGTCAAGTTCAGAGAGGAATATGAGAAGGGTTTTATGTCAAAAGATCCTAATAATGACTGGGAAACCGAATTTACCAAGCTCGAAAACTTCACAATTCGTATATTTTATCTTGTTATGCGGCAGCATCTCGTAAATGAAGAGAATGCAGTCACCCATGTCTTCAAGCTTTTGACTGAGATGGACAAGGTGAGTTTAAGGCCTGGAAGAGTAGAATATGAGCGGCTTATTTGGGCATGCACCCGTGAAGACCATTATACTGTGGCTAGAGAGCTCTATCAGAGGATAAGAGAGATGGAGAGTGATATAAGTTTATCTGTATGCAACCATGTAATATGGTTGATGGGTAAGGCTAGGAAATGGTGGGCAGCTCTTGAAATCTATGAGGATTTGTTGGATAAGGGACCTGAACCCAATACTCTATCCCATGAGTTGATCATCTCCCACTTCAACATACTGCTCAACGCAGCTAAAAAGAAGGGGATTTGGAGATGGGGTGTTAGATTAATCAACAAAATGCTTGATAAAGGGCTGAAGCCAGGAATTAGAGAATGGAATGCAGTTCTTGTTGCTTGCTCCAAAGCATCAGAAACTTCTGCTGCTGTGCAGATTTTTAAGAGGATGGTTGAGCATGGTGAGAGACCCACTGTGCTTTCTTATGGAGCATTACTAAGCGCCTTGGAGAAGGGTAAGCTATACGACGAAGCCCTTCATGTGTGGGAGCATATGTGCAAGGTGGGGGTTAAGCCTAACCTGCATGCTTACACAATTCTCAATTCCATCTACATCGGCAATGGAATGCCCGAGATGGTGGATTCTATCATGAAGGAGATGAGATTAGCAAAGCTTGAGCCAAAGATTGTTACTTTCAATGCTATTATTACTGGATTTGCTAGAAAGAGGTTGAGTGGGGCTGCTCTTGAGTGGTTCCATAGGATGAAGGTTCAAAACATCAAACCGAATGAGATTACTTATGAGATGTTGATAGAAGCTCTTTCGCGAGATGAAAAACCGAGGCTTGCATATGAAATGTATTTGAGGGCTGTAAATGAGGGTCTGAATCTTTCGGCAAAGGCATACGATGCGGTTTTAGAATCATCTCGGGCTTGTGATACAAACATAGATATGAATGCATTGGGAGAGCGGCCTCACGTGAAGAAGAAAATTGTAAGAATTCGAAAAAATTTGTCGGATTTCTGTGACATGGCAGATCTCCCTAGGAGTAGTAAACCATTTGATAAGACAGAAATTTTTAGTTCAGAAATACAAGGAAGATAATATACGACGGACTTTGTATGCTTCTACCTCCTAGAGCTATTTTTGCAATTCTAATGTTTGTTTGGTATGTTTCTACAGAAAATGGTCTTGATGTGTTGATTAATTATAATATAATTGAATTAAATTTTAACATTCTAAATTCCTGATGCCTGAATTTTTAGAAGTCAATAAAATAATTTCAATTTCTATGTGTTATCCTTAAGGTTGACCTTTTTGAATCCTCTTATTTACCCATGAGTTAATGCTATTATGAACAAGTCTTTTTGCTTTTCTTCTACACACTATCCAACACTTACCATTTTGCCTATATATTACATACATAAAACTTTCCTATTATTTCCTTTTTTAGTTACCGTTGTACATTCCTAACCAATTTAATCGAACTTTTGTCTATGTTATTTTAATAGGTGACACTCCAACATTTCTCTAATATAGCCATTGCAATTTTAATGTCATGAAATTTATTGTCTACCATATGTATTATGATTGATTTGATAATGAGTTGATGATAACATTTAGTGTTATTTAATGATTTTTTTTAAGTGATTTTCATTTTAATTATTTAAGTGGCAACCATGGAGATTATGAGCTTCTGCACTATTTTTAATATTATAATATGTTTATATGAATAATTATATTTTATTATATTTTGATTGTTAATATGCTTTTAAAATGCGTGGTTGTTCATTAGGCGCAAGCCATTGTTAATTATACTTAAAGTTGATTGATAGTTTTTTTTTTTTGTGTAAACTTTATTTTTGATTAAAACTTTATTTTTGATTAAAAATTTAAAGAACATGTTTATTATAGCTAATTGTGCTTAGGTTTTCAATTTTATGAGTTCTGGACTTATAGTCATTGATTTTAAGGAGTCATGTTTTATGACTATATGTGTTTGCAATATTTAAATTTTTAATTAATGATAAAATATTATTTTGTCCAAAAATGTATTTGGAACATGTTTAATTTATTGTACTCCTCTTATGTTTCAAATTCCATGATTTTAAGAATATTATTTATATTTTTTGAGTTTTTTTTAATGATTAGTGAAAGCTGAAATTGTTGTAATTTTATATTTTTTATCAACCATTGATGGTTTTCTTATAGGTTTAGAGTTATTTTTCATTGACATTTTTTATTAGCTTATTAATATTTCCAATTTTCTTTATAAAAAAGAAATATTAATTAATATAATTACATGTATATATGAAATCTTGTAAAATTCCTTGTTAGTAGTTTATGACCTTGTCAAGGTGGGCTCTTCATAGAATATATGACGAGTGTTGCATAGAGTCTTGAATCAGTATGATAATTATTAGTTTCTGTTAAATCCTGATTTGTCCGTGAATCATATCCAAGGAATAGAGCGTAAGTCAAGGGAGAGAGAGAGAGAGAGGGAGGGAGAGAGAGACAGAGAGGAATAGTAATACGTTGTGTTTTTTTCATGAAATATTATTCCTGTTTATAAGGGAGATGGTGCAATATGATGATATTACATTTTTGTCCCTGTTTTAAAGGGTTTGTGTAGGGTATTTTTAGTATTTTACATATATAAGCCCGTCGTTTGACTGCTCTCTCGCTCGGTCGGCTGAGTTAAATTAGCTTTAGATAAGTAGGACTATTTTGGTCGGCAGGACTGGTTCTGTCGGCATTGTCGGTCTACTGTTCTAGTCTTGTTGTAGACCCTTGATAATTGGTGGGGAAACTTCAGGACATACCCATTATGATTGGAGATGTTAAGAAATTGGGCATTTCTTTGGGTCGACTTCCTCGTGGTGATTAGCTCTAATGTCTTTTATCTTGTTTCTGACCGAACGATTCAAACTCAGATAATTTGGTCATCTTTCGTTGTTTGGCGGGCTTTGGCTTTTTTGGTTTTCGCTTGGATGGAAACACTCGATCGGATAAGTGCTTTTCACGTTCTTTTGTCAGTGGGACATCCCTCGTTATATTCTTCTCCTTTGACTGTTAAATTTTTGTAGAATCAACACTGATAAGTTTTTTATGTAAAGTTTCACAACTAGTTTTTTTCTTAGATTTCTTTTTGACTAATTTCGAAACACTCTTTTTGGTTGTAAATTTCGAACCAAAAGAAATAGAAAGTCCAATTAAAAACTCATACAATTGGCTCAATTTTCAGATCCGTAAGAGAAAGAAATCATCACATTCATCTGCATAATCTCCTTGAGTTATTTTTGTTGAAATATTGGTCTCCATCTATAGCTTAGATTGTTTGCTTTGCATAGTTACATTTTATCATGTGCCAATATTGGGCCTTTTTTTTGTTATATGTTAGTCCTGTCCACTATCAAAGTTTTGAAAGATTTTGAAAGTTTGTTTGTAAAAAAGACGCCAAATAACTTGAAACGAAAATATCGTTCAAGAATGATATGCCACAATATAAAATAATAGAGGAAAAACACACCACAAAATATCAAATATTAACATGATTTGGTATCAAATAGGCTTATATGCTCATTTGGTGGAAGAGAGGATTATATTCACTAAGGTACAAGTTAAACATGGTGTGCTAGTCAAGAGCATTATCATTCCTTTCTCAATTCCTAAGTACACCAACTCAAAGAAGAAAAAGAAAACACTAAGAACCTTACACAATGATACATAGTAGATACATTTTTATCATGTGAAGCTTGATTTTTGCAGAATTTTATATTTGCCCTCAGATTTTCTTGTGAATTGTCATATTTCAGCCATTTTTTTAACCATTTTTTTGAATGAAATATGCCTGTTTCTCATTATACATCAAAGTTGACTAATCTTTGTTAAAATTTAAAGCTGTTAATTCACAAATTGCGTTCTATGATGTGTTTTTTTTCGGCGCATCTCATCCTATGTTTGGTTTAGAGAACTCTAGACTTCAATAAATCCTACATTATAAGTCTATTTATGTTGCAATATTGATGTCCAGCTCAACCTTTATTCTAACTAATGGGACTGATATAAATCTCTGAAGCAGTAAAACATATTGGAAAATCAACAGCATCAGTTGATTCAAGGTATTTAATTTGCTCTGCTTAGCTGCTAATATTTTTTGATTGTTGAATTTCTTTGTGGATTTGGTTGGTTGATTTAATTTATGGCTCTTATGGTCTCTAATGCTCTCTATCATGTTTGAGTAAGCTCCTGTGGCTATGGAGAAAACTAGTTTGATGTAGAGTAGAGAACAATGCTAACAATTCTTAATATAGAGGGGTATTATTAAAACCTGGTTTATTTTTGTAATACATTTATCATAATTTTGTTAGATATATATGTTCTAAACTCAAAATTTTCCTTAACAAATATTAGTTTCTTGCGGTAGCTTGTTTGCTTTTGGTCTGTTTGGAGTAGCTTTCTGTTCGCATGGTGTTTTAGGCCGCCACCATAATTTATTTAGACAACTAATTTTTTGATATCTTTTAGAAATATATGTGGTGGAAATATGTTTTTTTTGCAATAATATTTGTTCAAATGTGATCGATGTAAGAAAGTAGTTCTTTGATTTTTTTTGGAGAATAAAATATTTCCAATTCCCATATCAATTTTTCTAAAAATTATTTTCTCCACAACAACTTTACAATTATCTTTACAAATAGTTGTGGTAACCTCAAATAGACGCTTAGGCTTGGTTTGAGAATGCCTCTGGCCTCCTTTTCGTTGCACAAATGACAAAACGACTAACAAAAATATTCTCGTCTCCTCAGGACGCGTCAACCACAAAGTTGTTTCTTTGTCATTTCAGAACGCGAGAGAGCAACGGTTTCGGCCCTGCCGCCCAACTTTCCATTGTTTTTGCCGCATCAACCTCACGAACGAGCGCCTCACAGTCGATATCCTGCAGTAAATATATAGAAACTATGGAGTGAATGTGAGCAAAACTAGAGTTTTTTGCATTAAGAGGGAAGAGAAGTGGAGAAATAAGAGTGGGAGAGGGAAAGGGTCTCACATCTTCATGTAGAGGTGGAAATGATGAGGCCATACCACACAATTCTTATGTATTTATATATCTCACACGTAAATTTTCATATTTGCACACACAACACTCAAATCTGTATTATCACATCAAAGATATTGTTATTACTATTTTCTAAAAGTGAAATATGACTTTTCATGCGCAAGTTTAAAGCATCAAAATGCTATGCTTGTAAATTTGAAAGTTGAGGTGTGGGATTTGTAAATGCATAAGAATTTTGTGCCGGGCATATAAATTTCCCTTAATATTGTTTATGACATGGAAGCTTTTTGTACATTTTTAAAAGAACATTTTAAGGAGCTGTAATAAATTAAAATGATGATGATGTTTTTATGATTTTATGTTATTAACCTCCTAGAGAATTTATATTCACTGGATGACTCCATGCTATTATTCCTGTAGTATTACTAGATCATTAAGGGTAATTATGTGTGTAATTAAATGTTAGGTTCTTTAATATATGCCAAATTTAGTTGTTGTTATTGTTCATTTTTAAAAATCCAAGGGTATTTATCCAATTTGAGAAAACAATACAAGTTTCAGACAATTAATTATTTATTTATTTTATGGATTATATTATTAGTTTACGTAGTCTTAAGGTCCGTTTGGGGCAGCTTATTTGGTGTGGTTGGTTTTTGAGAACATAATTGACATGTTTGTGTAAACTGTGTTTTGACAGTTTATGTGACTTTTTCAAAAAAATAAAAAAAAAATTATAATAACTACCGAACCTAACTTATCAGCAGATTATTTTTAATCAGCTTATCAATAATTATTTTATTCAATAAGCTACAGCTGCCCCCAAACAGACCCTTGATCTCAGATCCTCTCAATCCATGCAGAGCTTCAGAGTTTATTTGGGAAGAAACTGTGAGTTTCAAGATTTACATGCATACCACTCAATAGATATGCATTTACATATCTAAAACTTTAACTTTTGCATATATGCCCTTTCCTAAGCATGAAAAGACATATTTTCAATTTGCCACAGATAAAATAGTGATATTTTTTATATGATATAAAAGATTTGGACGGTGTAAATATAAAAAAAGCAAATTTTAGGTGTAAGATATGTAAATAGATGGGAATTGCGTGGTGGCAAAATTAAAATTTTTATGGTTTTATTAATTTAAAGATTTAATTATAGGTTCTTAAAAATCATCAGTCAAAATTATTGTTCTTGATTAAGTCAATCGCCATCAATTTCAATTTTATAAACTATCGTACTAATTAATAAAAAATAAATAAGATATAATAAAGTTTCTAAAAAGTAGATGATAACATGATTAAACTAATTAAAAACCTTATATGTTAGCTGTGCTTTAGCATTTAGCTACTAACTACATGTAAATATTAAAAATGAGACAAATTTAAAAAATACCCTTGGATGTGCGCCACATATTTAATTTAAAGCACTTAAGTATGTATTTACATGTCTAAAGTTGTAATTTTATTTTTTACATAAAGACCTCCTTACATATAGGGGTGTAAAGCTCGCTCGTGTTCGGCTCCTTTATATTTTGAGCTCAAAAAGTGTGTTCATGTTCGGCTCGTTTGTTTAGCGAGCCGAACATGAGCGACTCTTTTTGACAACACTAATCATGTAGTCATAGAATGTTAAGGATTGGGGTAAGATTTAAAACATCATTTGAATCTAATTTAATAATTTTTATTCTATTTTCTTAATTAAAACTTTTAATTGATTATAAATCTTTTTAGTCTTGTAATCAATTAATTTTTTTAAAAATACTACTCATCAAATATATATATATATAGTATTTCGAGCAAAAACGAGCCGAGCACGAGCGAACAAATGTTGGTTCATGTTGTTCGTGTTCGGCTCTTGAACTTAGCGAATGAGCCGAGCACAAGCTTCTTGATAAGCTGAACACGAGTTGTTCGCAAACAACGAGCCATTTTGATAAGCTGAACACGAGTTGTCCGCAAACAACAAGCCATTTTGACAGCCCTACTTACACATGCATGAATAGGACGCCTTGGTTGTCTGGTCATCTTCTGGGCCGTCTGAATGCTTTGAGATTCAGGCTGACAGTTGTGGCGTACACTCTTATAATTCGCTATTTTAGAACTATTTTGATTTCAATATTGTATTATATCAACCTTTTTGCTTGCCTTGTATAATTTATATTCAAGTTATTTTTTTTACTTTACAAAAGTAATATTTAAACAGTATTTGAATGTTGTTAAAATATGACACAAGATTTGAATATAGTTCAATATAAATTTTTAACAAGACTTAAATATGATTCTAACAATACTGAAGTATGGGTCAATTTGAACTTATTGAAGATAATAAACTTTAGATAGTTAATTCATGATAAAAAACAGGAGCATTTTAAATAAAATAAAATTTTAGCATATTTTTTAAAAGAAAATTAGTCACTCAAATATATACTTTTTAAAATTTTCATTATCAAAGGAAATTTATAAACAAATTATGAAGAAGCGCACACCATCAATTTCTTCGGCGAGCCTCATCCAGCATATTGTCATTCAATTTTCGCCGCAAAAACCCAGTTATAATCCCCTCAGCGCGAACCATGGAGGTCCAGCTTCTGCATTCTTCCATATGCCCAAACCGCCCCATTGTCTTCGTCGCTAACCGCCCCATTGTCTCCGTCGCTAACCGCCCGGAGGCTCATCGGCTCGCTTTTGTCCAGAGCTGTTTCTCCTCCTCTGCCGGCACCGGAAGCAGGGTCAAATGTGGAGAAAATAGCGACACTGCCATCACGCCTCCCAAGGCTACTCAGCAGAGGAAATCTTATCCTGTGTAGGATGTGATATAACGATATGTTATTTCTTAAAAAAAAAAAATTATTTTGATCATTAAAAAAGAAAACATAAGATTTATAAATATGGACAAAATTAAAAAAAAAAAAGAAAAAAAAAAGACTCATGTGGACTTTCTTTCTTCCTCTCTCTTCGACTCAATGGTAGCATGATTTAGGCATAATCTCCGCACAACATAGAGACAATGAGTGGGGCTGTCAAAACGGCTCGTTGTTCGCGAACAGCTCGTGTTCGGCTCGTTAAGAAGCTCATGTTCGGCACGTTAATTTTGTTCGATAAGTTAACGAAGCCCAAAAACAAAAAAAAAGTGTTGGTTCTTGTTTGGCTCCTTTTTTTAAACTATACTATGTGACATAAAGATGTAGGATGTGACATAACGATATGTTATTTTTTTTTAAAAAATTATTTTGATCGTTAAAAAGGAAACATAAGATTTATAAATATGGACAAAATTTAAAAAAAAAAGGAAAAAAAAAAAGACTCATGTGGTATTTCTTTCTTCCTGGTGGTATGATTTTGGCACAATCTTCACACAACACAGAAACCCTAAGTTCTAAAAAAAATTCAAGAATAACAATTTAGTTTTTATATTTATTTATATAACATTCTAATGACTACTCCAAATTAAAATACCTCAATGAAAAGATGTATTTTTTGTTGATAAATTAATTTTAATGATATTTTTTATAGAATCTAAAATAAATTAATGATATGCGTGTACAGATGTGCTTCTTTTTTAATTCAAGATTACAGTGACTTCATCTATCTCTCTCTCTCTCTCTCTCTCTCTCTCTCTCTCTC